GTTATTTTGTTCCTTTTCTCGTGGTTATAGTCCAGAAAATATAAGGTGAAGTGTTTTTATACAGTTTAAGAACGTCAGACACATTTTGTCTAAAGGGCACACGCTACCTAGTTGAGGCGAGCTGTTGCGAGTATGGACATCTCCGATCCAGTGATGATTGTGTAAGTTAACGTAATGCCCTGGCTCAACGGCTAAGACGACGCTTGGGGTCGGTCACTGACTGGCTGTGCCTATCTGCTTAGGATATGGCTGTCATCGAAACGAGGGCAAGTACATGAGTTTGGCCGGGTGCTCGATTGTGTAGGCATAGGGATAGTGTAACTTTAGGAAATGAGCTTGGGTGCGATGGATGGGTAAATCATAGATCACAAGTTATTTCGCAGCCTCCTTGGAAAGTATCGCATGCCATCAAGTAAAAGCTCATTGGATAGCTCCGAGAGTGTGCTATCTAACTACGCAACACAGCCAGGTGTGCAACCCAAAACCGACAGAAGTGTATGGGTGAGTTAGATCACTAAAGCCATCGGAGTAGCTAAGGTTGCTAGAGTCGTGATCCAAAGGATATAACTCCGGACAACCGGCTTGGTGAATAGTGGTATGTAATGCAAAACAACTGCCTCTTTGCTGATTACGCTATCCGAAGATAGGGAAGAGAAAGTCCGTTAGAAGTATCAGCGTAAAAGCGTAAAAGCAAGATGAACTCATAACACGTTAGCTGATAGGGGCCACCCGTATACCAGACACTTCATGGCTTTGACCAACCATGTGATACATTTTAGCTACGTCACAAACCCAGCCCGAGATTCCACTAGTTAAAGCTGGTCACATAGTAGAGACGGTTGGCATATCACAGGGACCCTTTCTCTCTCATGGTGTGCACATCGTGAAACGAGCTTCTACCTCCCGTTATTGCAACACCTACATTATCCGAAATCTAAAAGCAAGTGGTAATGCAGTGAATTCCCTACATTAGTTGAGTTATCACTACAGTGCGTCCGATATGTTAGGACCATTCGCCGTAATGCAGCCATAACTCGCCCCAAGTACTCACGCGTTTTACGTGCCTAAACGATACCCAGGGCATTTACAACACTTATCCGACTCTCAAGTCGCAATTTGTGTTAGACAGCAAATGCTCGTATCTGCCTTTGCGGTGCGCATAATCGCGTGCGGAGTCATGAATTTCGATAAACCCTTTAGTGCGTTGGCAAAGGACATCCTGCACAGCCCTGCAACTGAGTATTGAGACCACAGATTCCACTGCTTGTCAGTCTGTCGAGGAATGAGGGGAGTGCCGAAGCAAATCCTTTGGTCGTCCGGGTCGGTGGTAACATTTTCGCCCTGGCTGAGGGCAGAATGGGCGTGTGAATGTTACACACTCAGCTCAGGATAAAGTGTACATTAGTTTTCGATGAAATGAATGATCATTTGGGACACAAAATGTGGTGTGAAATTGACTATAATGGAACAAGTAAGGGGATCGATGGGAGGAAGAACGTTTGCACACAGGTGTGACACATGGCGCAAAGGTGGTCATGCGAAGTAACATTAAGATATACGACAGTCAGCTTATCTGGAAATCTTCGCTTTTTATATTTAGTATAGAGCAACCATGGATACTAAGAATACCGCCTCCTGTCACATGCCGCTCGGTGCGGACCCCCTGCCCCCTCTAGCTACGCCTCTGAATGAGCCGCAGACAGACTACTTGAGCCAGTCAGACAATCGATAGCTCCAGGTCGAACAGCCGCATTATGGCTATTTTGTCAGTGCAATGCATGTCATTTTATTATTTGATCAATGTGTTAGCAATAGAGAATATGCATAAACTCCTGTCGGAGCTTTATATTCAACCTAAATTACGTTGTTTGGCTAATGCTCAACGCGTGTTTGAGCTTCGGCAGTATGGTGAGTGCTGAGAGAAGACCGCACTAACCGTGCGACTATACGACACTCTGCACGTGCGAGTGCGGACTGTCAACGGCAGTTATGTGCTTAAACTGGGAGAAAGTTCGATAAACTGGGAGTACTGCATGTAACCACACATTACCAATGATCATCCAGTGTGTGAGCTTGTGGATGGGCGCTGGTTGCGTGCTCGGTTCCATCGTATCAAACGCGGCCTGCGCATAAAAATTGCTGTAATCTATTCCACAGTAGAATATCGCTGTGACGTGACAACAAAGGTTCGTGTGGTTGAGGAATTTGGCCATCGTGTGCTAAGTTGAGGCGAACAAGAGGTTGACATTTGAATAAGCTAGCCGGCAGCCCTTTATCTTTAGGCGTCATAGGTTTACAAGGAAAGAGGAGTTCCCGGTGGGATAACTTACTACGCATCAACTTTTGCTTAGTTAAAATGAATGCAAAATAAAGAAAGGGAACAAATACTCATCTATCAATCAGCTAACATTCCTAATATGAAACGCCTAGTAGAACGTACTGCCTGGTTGCTAAAATGCTTTGTTGAAAGCTGGTTTTCAGGCTACAACAGCTTTGACCATAGTAGCGATTTGTCATTAACTTTTATGAAAGTAAGGGTCAATTGAACATTCATTGCTTTAATCTAGGTTACTCTGTCTACTTAGATGGGAACATAGCTTTTGGTGCGGCACGAAAGTCAGACACCTAACTTCAGGGCTGCTTTCGTTTCACACACACGGCCCAACGACCGCCATCAATCGTTCCACTGGCGAGTCGCTTACGTTTAGACAAAGTTTCCCTGCCCCTCTGCACTCACTGCCAAATAAGCTTATCGTGTGCTCTGGCTTACCTGACTCAAACGAACGATAGTCACACTGCCGCTGTTCAACCCGAAGCTATCGACCATTCGACTGGCTCATGTGGTCTGTCTGCGCCTCTTCCTTGACCAACTGTCAAGCAGTGGAATTTGGGATCGGCATATTCCGTTGCAAGCATGCTCAGCATGTCCTATGCCCACACACTAAATTGTGTAGCGAAATTCGTGGCTCCGCACGCAATTATGCGCACCCAAATGCAAGTACAAGCCTGCACGCATTTGCTGTCCAACATACATTGCGACTGGAGAGCCGGACAAGTGTTATATATGCCCTGGGTATCGTACAGCCACGCAAAATAGCTCATTGAAAGATGCGTATCATGGCTGCATTACGGCCATCGGTCCGAACATAATGTACACACTGTAGTTCAATTGACAGTGACATGACCTGGCTATCCGGACAACCTCCTCGTGGTGCCAGTTGAGTGGTTCAGGTCTAACAAGTTGCAGCAAATAGTTCGGTGGCATTATTCCAGAACGTGGTGGGTTTCTGCCTCGCAAGCGTTCTCCCTTTAAAAACCACAAGTGTCTGCTTAGCAACACTGCAACATGGCGGATGTGACTCGCCACAAACTAAAGTCACTGACCCGTGAATAGCCGAAAAATGCTATCCAAACCATGGACATCAATCGCTTATTCTCATATTCCTGACGATAACAAACAGTTAAAAACGCAGCGGCACATTCACAAACACAAGCTACAAGCTACATTCATACACAATTTGTTGGCGGCATCCGGTTTCGGATTTGCCTGTCACTGTGGCCAGCCACACAATTGCATACGTATATACACCCATACACATACATTCACTGTCATGCCAAACATGTCTTTTTGTACTTTTGAATAACACTATTTTAGCTTAACATAATCATGCCTGTAAAGGTGTGCATCGAAATGTTGGAAATAAAAGATTTTATTTATCGTACGGTGATTACACCGGCGTGTCTTATTCTTCCGCACATGGTCTAGCATGCTTTCATTCACGAGACCTGTTATGCATCTAATCTTTATCCCTAATACATGTTTTGTTTCTTGTTCCATACCAGACCATGTTAAAGTGTAAAATTATGTGGTAGGCACCCGTCGGAAATGCTCTGCCGAAGTTGGTTTGCGTCCAGTAAACTTTCGAGATGTTGACGTGTTTGACGTACAAACAACACTCCAAGACTGTGTAGGTGATTTTGCACAGTGTAACTAGCAGTACTACGTCGTGAGAACATTTTGTTCCTAGAAAGGCAACGGTTCACCACATCGAAGTCCGAAACAAAATGAGTGACTTTCCGTTTGAGAATGGTTATCTATTTCTTTTTTTAACACTGTCTCAATCAACTGTAAATTTGCTAATGTCCCATCGGTGAGTTGATAGTTGGCGATATACGCGGAGCTAGATCCCACAATTAACCTGGGGCAGAGAAGTCATCAATCTCAGAGTCAAGCTATAACAGTTGCCATCCCTAAAGCTATCGTTGTGGGTAGCAGTGATGTATCCATGGTCAGAAATACCCTCTAATTTTACCTTGGCTTTTAGGCTAATACTCCGGTTCCCTAAAGTCAAATGCCTCCATCGAATTTTTCAGGGAACTTTAACTGTGTATTCACATTGTTGCCGTTTAACAGCCATTGTTGGCAGAGGAAATTCATGTCTATTTATATGGTGTTTGTATTACTAATAACCTGAAGCATAGTGCCCGGGATGGCAGCCTAGGTGGTCTCCATATAAGTTACGGATGTTAGAATTGTGTGCCGAAGTCGAACTCTCTGCATATGTTTAAACTGTGAGTACGCGGTACGTGGCACGCGGCCACTCTCCTCGTGCGTATAGGTAAGTGAGCTTTGCATTGAGACTATTTTGCCACTACTACCTTTCCTGTACCACTGTCTTATGGATGGCATGCGTGTTGCGACTGAACACCCAATCTTCCAGGGTGTGTAAAAGCGTAATCATGAAGTGACTTCAAATGCAATGATTTTGGATTTATGTATCATGTAAATCCAAAGTTTCCTACTTCGACTCCAGACTGCTATTTAAGAAGACTAAGTTATCATCACAACACCAAAAGAATTCCAAACTCGCATTATTCCATAAATGTTGCAATGTTAGTTTACACCAATGGAGACCGCGCTGAACTCAATGTCGTGTTTGCTCGAACGCTACTTGTCGTGACTGGTTTCTAAAATGTACAGTTCTCAAGAAGATACTCACATCTACTGAACACCCCATCAGGCAGCACCGTTTGGTGTAGATAACCATCTGTTTGAGTAAATCACTTGGCCGATTTTTCGGATCCAACCGAATAGTTTCACAAATCCCTCCAGTGACATCTTCCATGGCTTCAGCTTGGGTGCCTCCAGACAGATTGTTGTAGCAACCACACAGCCTAGGGGATGATGATGATGGAAGAAATAGTTAAAACAATGTTGACATGATACTCGTTTTGCTATAAACGGTTGTGATTTCCAAGGTAATAGTAGAAAATATTAAGCAGATCTCTGTGGAGATGCAAGAATGTACTGGAACATCAACTTCACAAGATAGTCAACGGGCACAAACTACATGGTTGGTGGCACCGGGTTCCGACTTTGCCTCTTAATGTGGCTTCCATAGAACAGCCACAGGACTCCTGCGTCTACAAAGGGACCGTGGGTGGCTCGCGCTGCACCACCAACGGCTCCATCCACACACCCCATATCCGGGTAAACTCGAAAAATAAGACCGGGAGGCATGCGGACAGCAGCCACGATTCATCCACGGAGCCGGCCCACACTACTTCAACATGCACGGCGGCAGCATTCCGGTCTATCTTAACAGGGAATCATGCGTACCAAAAGTATACAAGGCGGTGACTGGACCGTAGTCCGCTCCAGACTGGATGGAACCATTCTTTGCACTTATCGTCGCCACGAGCATCGTGCACCTCGTCCATCCGACAACTATTCAGTCTTCTGTAGTCAGTATGGACGAGGTGCAGTGTGTTAGACAGGTACGCACCCCGTCAAAATTCACATCAATCGCAGCCACACCAGGGATATCAAACAACCAATACATAATTCGAACGAAAATAAAAACCCAAATTTGACACGGAATATGCCGCAGAATAACAAAACAGAGCAAATCACATAAAGTGAAATACATTTTATCCAGGTTGAGGTGATCTAGTTTACTTGTAAGTTTGTGTAACCCAACTGCGGGGAAGAAGCATCATGTATGCAACCTCAACCTTTAGTATGGAGCACAAGATACATAGTTCACTGCATCACGTTCCGGAGTTGCCCGTCACTGTGGCCTCCATAGGACAGTCACAGAACGTCTGCGTTCACAGAGGGACATGGGTGCCTGCGCTACACCACCCATAGCTCCATCCACACTCCACATCCCGTGTAAACCGGAAGGAATAAGACTCGCATACATGTGGATGGGAGCCAGATTCCATCCATGGAGCCGGCCCACACTACTTCAACAAACAGAGCAGAAGCATTCATGCCAAATTTGGAAGCCATGTATACCAGACATACACATGACCGTGGTTGAGTCTAAGTCCGCTCCACTTTCGAAGGAACCGCTGATTTTCCTAGTAAGTTCACAACGACCGTGCACCCAGCCCCCAGGCAATGGTTTACAGTCTCCTGGAGTCAGTAATCGAGGCGGAGAGTGTTAGAGTGGTAGGCAACCTGTCAACTTTCTCGTCAAGCGTAGCCACACCGGGGCTGTCAAGCCACAGCCCATAACTAGAAACGACAATATCAAATAAAATGCATCGAATAAAGCATACGGATACGCCGATATAGGGGTGTTCAGGGTGCCAAGGAGGAGTAGCACCTCTGGCAGGGGGTGGTGCGACTATCTCGGTCTCCACTTGTCAGTCAGCTCTCCACTGTGACTCCAAGTAGCTACTTGCACGTAGCAGCGGGCACATCGCGTTCAACCGTCAGGCAGACGGTCGAAACCAGGTGAGGATAGCCGGGAACACTATTCTGGGTGAGTTCGAACGCGCATGCAACATCAGTCCCGTTGCAACGAGACTGGACCTTAACGTGGTGCGACGGTTTGCGTACCAAATTGACCCATTGAGCAATACTGGGTGATGCCTACGGGCACCTTGGGAGCTACTCCCACCAGGTTGGTCAATGGTGAGAGGTCAGACAAACTCAGTCTCCTGGTCCTCCAGCTGGGGGGTTTAAAATGGGATGGCGTCCATTTCTGTAAAGCTAAATAATTGCCACCTTCCCGCTGCCTTGCCGACAGGCTTTTGAGCCAAAGGCTTTGGATGAGGACCCTAATCGTCCTCCTGTCTAGGTCTGGGCGCCCTGGCAGCATCTCAGCCCACATACAACCATGACATTTTCTTCAAACATTAACTTCATCCTGCATCGGCCGTCGCGCAGATTATCAACGGTCGTCTTCGCTGCTGCATACAGCAGGGCGGATAAGCGAAAACATGCTACTACTGGCGCCTCCCTTCTTTTTTTCCACTTGTTTCTCTTACTCCCATCCCGACCCCCATTACCAACCTTCTTTCTATAATTCCCAGCTTAATTGACAGCAACCGAAGTGCCACTGGAGTAGAACCACCTGCAGCCACCATCCCACCGCACCTATCGGATGCCTATCGACAAAAGTCCCTTATAAGGTCACGCTATCCTGTTTCCATGGCTACATTCAACGTTTGCGCTCTAAGACAAGCAGGTCAACAGGCTGCACTCGCAAACACCTTGGACACACTGGGTATTGATGTGTACTGGGTGTCCGAAACTAGGATCAATGACCCTACCGGGGTTATTGAATTAACTGCACCAGGCTTGTCCTCTCGTTATTGGTAGCACGCATCCAGAGGCGCCGATGCGGCACTCACGGGTCAAGCTGGTGTAGGTGTCATTCTCAGCTCCAAGGCTGAGTCATCGTTGGTTGATTGGATTCCGGTGAACAGCCGTGTATGTGCAGCCCGTTTGACGACATCAGCTAAGGTGGATTCACGAAGTAGTACAAAACGCTGTTTGTTTGTGATTTCCGTTTATGCTTCTACCGACTGCAGTTCAGGTGTTGTCAAGGACACATTCTATGACGGACTGAACGCGCTACTACGCAGTGCTACTAATTCAGATATTATAGTACTTGCAGGGGATATGACCGCACAAGTATGGCGTCTGAGCTATTCAGAAGCTCAGCTTGGTGGTAACTGTGGACTTAACTCCGAACGGACTGACAACGGTGAGCGTCTGCTGCAACTGTGTGCGGATCGCCAATTGTTTGTAAGTAGCACTGCTTTTAGGCACAGTGGCGCCGAAGTGCCACTTGGCGTCCTCCTGCAGCTGATCAGCGATGGACCCAAATTGACCATATTGCCCTAAGTCACAGGTGGCGTGGTTCCATCCTGCTTTGCTATTACTTCTAGAGTACGTGCGTCGACACTGATCATGTCTTGGTACGCTGTCGCTTTTCCATGAAATTTACGGGGAGGCGCACCAAGCGTCTCCTCCGATTGGCAGCTGAGAAATTATCTTAGCCCTCGGTCAGGCAAGCCTATCAAGAAGCACTGCATATCGAACTCTCGCTGTCTTGTCCTAATGACACTGAACTTCAGTGTAATAACATCTCGGCCGCCATGCACGACGCAGGAGCATCTGCTTGTGGCACTATCCATCGTCACCGCACCAGTCACTAGATATCCGAGAGGTCGGTGAACCTGTTGGAATCTAGAAGACACCTCCCGGCTGGCTCTGAACACAATGTTACCAGACGGGCTATTAGGCGTGAACTAAAGCGGAGCCTACGTGCTGACAACGAAGCCTGGTGGACCAGTAGGGCTCAAGAAATGGCGGAGTCAAGAGCAGTAGGCAATTACCGTAAGCTCTTCCAGCTAATCCGCATCACCGGTCCCAGATAACCAGGCGTCGGTGAGACAATCAGAGACAGCGTGCGTGCGCAGATACAAAATAAGTAGCGCCGTATGGCTCGTTGGGCGGAACACTTTCCAGATCAGTTCAACTGGCCCCCTGATCCCGGACCTCTTCCTACTCAGGTGATGCAGGACGAGCCATGGATGGTTAGTTTAGAGCCTCCGTCGCGGAAGCCGAGGTCAGAAACGCGATCACAGCCCTCAATCGTTTTCTTGCCGCTGGCCCGGATTCCCTCCCACCTGCACTATTTAAGGATGAAGGTGAGGTCCTCTGCAAAGCACTGACCTCCTTATTCGAATGTATCTGGAAGGAAGTGAGTATCCCGGCTACTTGGAGCGAATCGATTATAGTGGCAATATACAAGAAGGGCAGTCGCACAGACTGTTCTAACCACAGGGGTATTTGCCTAACGCCAGTTGTGACAAAATTACTGGCCTCGATTATCTTTCGTCGCCTCAGTGGTGAACGGGAATCCCGGATTAGGGAAGAGCAGGCCGGTTTCCGCTCAGCATGTGGCTGTATAGACCATATATGCACCGCGGCAGGTGCTAGAGCAGTGTCACGCATACCGCAGACCGACAATAGCTGTGTTCCTCGATTTCAAGAGTGCGTTTGATTCAGTCGATCGATTGACTCTGTTCGAAATACTTACGCGGAAAGGTGTTCCCACGAAATTTGTGGATATCCTTCGTGCTTTATACTCGAACACTACGGGCCGCATCAGGGTCTATGGTGTCCTATCGGATAGCTTTCCGACCACAAGTGGTGTTCGTCAGGGTTGTCCGATTTCCCCGTTTTTTTCAATTTCGTCGTGGATTCTATCATAGAGTGTTCCCTTGCGGAATCTCACGATGTAGGCGTTGAAGTGCTGCCTGATGAAAGGTTAGTTGATCTAGATTATGCGGACGATATCGTCTTGCTTTTCGACGATGTTGAGGCGGCACAATCAACCCTGAATAGCCTGTGCAGAGTGGTCCCATTATTTGGTGTGCACTTCCCACCTTCAAAGTGCAAAGTGTTGCTGCAGGACCACCAGCCACTTGATGACCCCTTGACGCTTGCTAACGAGGAACTCGAGGTGGCTGATCAATTCACTTATCTTGGCAGCTGCATCAGCAATGATGGACGCATAGAAACTGACGTGAGCTCACGCATTGCAAAGGCCAGAGCTGTCTTCTTGAACTTGCGGCATCTTTGGCGACAGAAGGGAATTTCCCTCCGTCTGAAAGGCCGTGTATGCAAGCCACAGTGACGGCCGTTCTGCTGTATGGTAGTGAGACTTCGCCCCTTCGGTCTGAAGATTTGAGGCACCCTCAAGTCTTTGATCATCATTGTCTGCGATGCATTGCTGGTGTCGGATGAAACCAGCGTGTCGGCAACGATGATGTGCGTAGGCGAGTACTAGGTGGTGATAATCAAGCTAGCTTCCTCGAACAACAGATAGCACTGAATAAGTTGCGTTGGCTCGGGCACGTGCTACGTA